TACCAAATTTTATATGGATATCTTAATTTAGTAATAAATTATGCGCGTTTAAGTGATTTTCGGCAAGGGTCCTTGTATCGGAGCTATGACCAATTATGGACCGATCGGAAAAAAATTTCATAGTAATATTTCTGTATGCGAGAACAATAATTGTACCAAATAGATATATGGATATCTTGATTTAGTAAAGAGTTATGTGCGTTTAAGTAATTTTCGGGAAGGGACCTTGTATGGGAGCTATGACCAATTATGGACCGATCGGAAAAATATTTCATAGTAATATTTCTGTACATATTAGCAATACCTATTCCATATTTTATATGGATATCTTAATTTAGTTATGCGCGTTTAAGTTATTTTCGTTAAGGGTCCTTGTATGGGAGCTATGACCAATTATGGACCGATCGCAAAAAAAATGCACAAAAATATTTCTGTATATGAGACCAATACTTGTACTAAATTTTATATGGATATCTTAATTTAGTAATGAGTTATGTGCTTTTAAGTGATTTTCGGGAGGGGACCCTGTATGGGAGCTATGACCAATTATGGACCGATCGGAAAAAACTTTCACAGTAATATTTTTGTGCATATAAGCAATACTTATTCCAAATTTTATATAGATATCTTAATTTAGTAATGAGTTATGCGCGTTTAAGTGATTTTCGGGAGGGGACCTTGTATGGGAGCTATGTCCAATTATGGACCGATCGGAAAAATATTTCATAGTAATATTTCTGTACATATTAGCAATACCTATTCCATATTTTATATGGATATCTTAATTTAGTTATGCGCGTTTAAGTTATTTTCGTTAAGGGTCCTTGTATGGGAGCTATGACCAATTATGGACCGATCGCAAACAAATTGCACAAAAATATTTCTGTATATGAGGCCAATACTTGTACCAAATTTTATATGAATATCTTAATTTAGTAATGAGTTATGCGCGTTTAAGTGATTTTCGGGAGGGGACCTTGTATGGGAGCTATGACCAATTATGGACCGATCGGAAAAAACTTTCACAGTAATATTTCTATGCATATGGGAAATACTTATACCAAATTTTATATGGATATCTTAATTAAATAATGAGTTATGCGCGTTTAAGTGATTTTCGGGAGGGGACCTTGTATGGGAGCTATGACCAAATATGGACCGATCCGAAAAAACTTTCAGAGTAATATTTCTATGCATATGGGCAATACTTATACCAAATTTTATATGGATATCTTAATTTAGTAATGAGTTATGCGCGTTTAAGTGTTTTTCGGGAGGGGACCTTGTATCGGAGCTACGACCAATTATGGACCGATCGGGAAAAAATTTCACGGTAACATTTCTGTGCATATGAGTAATACTTATACCAAATTTTATATGGATATCTTAATTTAGTAGTGAGCTATGCGCGTTTAAGTGATTTTCGGGAGGGGACCTTGTATGGGAGCTATGACCAATTATGGATCGATCGGGAAAAAATTTCACAGTAACATTTTTGTGTATATGAGTATTACTTATACCAAATTTTATATGGATATCTTAGTTTAGTAATGAGCTATGCGCGTTTAAGTGATTTTCGGGAGGGAACCTTGTATGGGAGCTATGTCCAATTATGGACCGAGCCAGAAAATTTTTTTTTGAATGAATTCAATTGACATAAGATTTCAATTTGTAAAATTTTGTGAAGATATCAACATTCTGACGTAAGTTATTAACAAAAAACCCATTTTCCGGGAATATGTACTTTTGTATGGGAGGTATATGAAATTGTGGTCCGATTCTGGCAATTTTCAGCAGGGATCAAGCTCTTGTGTAGAGACGAATGTATGTTTTCGAGAAAATTACATCAGAATGTGTAAAAAATGCTTATTTTTTTCGGAGTTGTTTTAAATTTTTATTCATAACTTTTCCCGATGTGAACCGATTTTGATCATTTTCAATACCGAACTGTACCGGATAATAGTGAATATTTTGTGTGAATTTGGTTAAATTATATTGCTTCGTTTTAACGTGAGCGTGTTTTACACAGACAGACAGACGGACATAGCTAAATCGACTCAGAATTTGATAAGGACCCAGAATATATATACTTTGTTGGGTCTCAGATGAATATTTCTTGGTGTTACACACGGAATGATAAAGTTATATATATCCTCTATCACCACTGATGGTGGTGGAGGGTATAAAAAGTTACTGAATTGTGGTACAGATAGTTATTTCTTCATTCTTTAAAAAAAAATTAATTATTATACCCACCATTAAAAAAGATGGGGGGTATATTGATTTTTTCATTCCGTTTATAACACATCGAAATATTGGTCATAGACCCATAAAAATATATATATTCTAGGTCCTTATTAAATTCTAAAACGATCTAACCATGTCCGTCTGTCTGTTGAAATCCCGATAGGGTCCACACGGGAGGAGCTAGACAGTTGCAATTTTCCACAAATATTCTCTATTACCAAGGTTTTATTGGTATTGAAAATGGGCAACATCGGTCCAAGTTTTCGGATAGCCCCCATACAAGTGGACTTCCAAAAACAGCTGTAACGGGCATAACTGTTTTAGAAGTACGAGTATAGCGACGAAATTCGACATTAATAAGTTTCATATGAGCCAAAATCTTCCTACAAAGTTTTTTGAGGATCAGTCCATAATTGACCCTACGCCCCAGATAAGGTCCCCTTCCAAAAATAACTTTAAAAAAAACCTAAAAATTCGAGTATAGCGATGAAATTCGCTATAAATATGTTTCTTACGAACTAAAACCTCTCTACCAATTTTTTTATACGAGCCAAAATTTCTTTACCAAATTTAGTGAGGATCGGTCCATAATTGGTCCTACCGCCCATACAAGGTCCCCTTCAGAAAATTACTTTAACGCTCATTACTGGCTAAAAATTACGAATATAGCAATCAAATTTGACACAAATAAATTCCCTGAGAACCAAAATCTCTCTACCAACTTTTATGTGGATCGGTTCATAATTGTCCATACCCCCCATATAAGGCCCCCTTCAGAAAATGACTTTAACACTCATTACTGGCCTAAACATTCGAGTATAGCGATGAAATTCGACATAAATAAGTTTCATATGAGCCAAAATCTTTCTACCAAAATTTTGAGGATCTTCAGAAAATTACTCATGCGCTCACGGTTTAAAAATTGAATAAAAATATTTTGTTTTTAAAAATTAATATTAAGCCATAATTAATTGACTTAAGCCATATTCCAAATATCACCCTGATGTTTCTAGGGGAGCATTCCTTTTACGGCATACGGTTTGATGTCAGGTATATGAGATATAACACCCTCACTTGTTTTTTTTTTTAATTTAAGCTAAGCTTTTTTGGGTAAAAACAATACAACAAAAACGTCCATTTTGAAAAAAATGGGGGAAATTAAGTGCCAAATATTGAAAGAAAATTTATTCTTGAGTTAAAAAATATTTTTTTGATGGATATCCCACTCGCATCCCATTATGGGACTATAAAGTCCTTTAAGGAAAATGTATGAAAAGGGCCCTTTTGAAAAAAAAAATTGGAAAGAATGAAGAAATAGCTAGCTGAACTCCTTTGGACAATTTTTGCTAGGACCAATAGGTGAAATGTTACACTCATTTGAATAAAACTACTGATGGTGGTGGAGGGTATAAAAATAAAACAAACAGAATGGGACAACAAATGGAACTACTTATTTCTCCTGATTGTTAAATATAAGTGTGTTCTGATGGATCAGATACACAGTCACTTTAAGTGAGGATAAATTCAATTCTCCAGTAGATCGGGACTTAAAATACTGGTCATAAAATTGGATTAATATTGATGATTGATTCTTTCGAATCGCTATTTTCTAACAAAATTTCTTAATTTGAAGATTAAATTTGAAACATTTAAATAGTAAATCCCAAAATGATCACAATAAATATCTAAAAACAAGTAAGAAATTATAGTCGGGCGTGGCCGACCATATGATACCCTACACCAGTTATGAATATTAAATGTGATTTATTTTTCATAATAAAGTATTTATCTTCAATATTCCCTTGTTCCGATACATTTAAGCAATTTATGGTTGAAAAACTAATTTTCTGAAAGAGGCTTTATATGGGGGCTAGGGGCAAATATGGACCAAGCCCGATAAAATTTTGTGAATATATTTATATTTACATAATATTTTATTGTGCTGAATTTCATCGCGATATTTGTGTTTATAAGTTAATTTGGGACATTCAAGTAATTTTCTGAAGAGGACTTTGTATGGGAGCTAGGGTCAAATGGGGCCCGATCTTTATGAAATTTGGCAGGGTCATCAAGACTTCTATAAAACTTAGTTGTGCCGTATTTTATCGATATATCTATATATTTAACATAATTATGAGCTCAGACGCCCTTTACGGGGGTTCTGTTCTATTATTTCAATAGGCTTCGTCTTTAGTCAAATAAAACGTGCGTGCCAAATTTCATCCAATTATCTTGAAAATTGCGACCTGTACCTGCATAATCGACTCAGAAAACGATTCTAAGCCGATTGGTATACTTTAAGGTGGGTCTAGGACGAATATTTTTGTATGTTACAAACATCAGCACAAATCCAATATACCCTCCCCACTAAAGTGGTGTAGGGTATAAAAAGCGGGATTGAAATCTAAGTCGGGATCATCCTTTAAAAAGCGGTATGTCTGGTCACGTTACGTATATACAACAACAATTCTTAGTTATTTTATTGTGAGTTAAACAACGGTTCTCGCACATATTAATGTATGTAAATATTATTTTCATCTATGTGTATAAAAATAAGTTGCAAGAAAAAAGTAGAATGAATAAATAAATGTTAATTTTTTCTCTTAAAATTTGTTTTTTTTTTTTTTGATTTATAGTAAATTTAAGGAAATGCAATCTTTGCGTATATACTAATTTAATGGTGTCCCTGGTTAAAACGAATTATAAATTACAAAATAACTAATAATTTTTAAAATGTTTAATTTATTATTTAGTTAGTGAAGACAAATCTCATAAGCGGCGTCTCCTGACAAAGAAAAGAGCGATGACTACAAGCTTTTTCGATGTTGGAAAAAAAGATAATAATGGTACGTACATACCCACTAAACAATTTTTGCCGAATTCATAACGAATTCGTACCGACAGTTTGCACAAGTTGCCGATTTCGTATCCGAATTCCATCAGAAGTCGGGCAAATGTCTCATACCATGTCTGACATTCTTTCGACATTTCGTACGAAAGTCTGATCAAATATAAGAAAGTCTGATAGATGTCGGATAAATAAAATTTCCGACAGTTCGTTCAAAAGTCTGATCAAGTATAAGAAAGTCTGATAAATGTCTGATAAAATGTCCGACAGTTCGTACAAAAGTCTAATCAAGTATAAGAAAATGGCCAGACTATTCCGATCAACGTCTGATGAAAACTATTTTCATTTTATTTTTTTTTTTTTTTTGCTTTATTTAGTTTATCCATATATATACAAAGTGCATAGTGTTTGTGTTGAGCACATTAAAAAGAAAAAAAGCTACATTAATCACCGTCGGCAATTTACATAAAAGAAATAAACAAACAAACAAATCCGTCGGCAACTTAATGATAGAGAGTCAAGCTTTAAATCTTTCCAAAATTAAAATTAGAAAAAGCCGTCGGCAAATTAAAATTTCAAATAGTGGAAAATTAAAGTGATCGTGTGCACCGAATTAAATATCACCTACTTCTATTGGTCGTCCAAGAGTTGGAGTTAAAGGCGTAACTTTTCCTAAAAATATCATATTTGGAAAGAAAAAGAAATATAATATTAAGGAATTCAATATATTAAGTTAAGATTAAATTCAGGTTTGTTTGTTTTCATTTTGCTTACTACTAAGTGCATTGGAAACTTGAAATTAGAGTGTTTTGTGTCGTGAACTTTGGAATATAAATTTTATTGTTTTAAACTTGAGTCTTGGATAAATGAAAGTCGGAACATTGGATAATATGCAAAATGGAGTATTGCATGTAGAACTGTTTCTTCAACTTTGGATGAAATTAAGTGACTGGAAATCTTAATGTCAAAGCTATTCGTACGTTTAACGCGGCTGCATATGCCTTTTCTAAAGCATAGCAAAACCCAAGGAATAGGATTTTTGCGTTAGGAGTATGGACTAGACTTTTTTGGATTTCATAAGTCCTGCAATTGGATCTGGAATAAGGCCACTGCATTAAATATTTCGCCCTTGGATAAAGGTCCCAGTTAATACGCTTCGGATTGTCTGATAGAAATGCAAGTAGGGATGTAGCTTCCTTCCAGAAAACAAGAATCTCCTTCGGATTGCTGTTGTCATCACCATTTAGGAAACCTCCATGTGCAAAATGTTGAAGTTGAATGAACAAAATTTCGTCCCATTTTGTCATCGAAAATTCTGCTATCATAAGTCTCATATTGGATGTCGTAACTTTCGGAATTGAGTGGCCATCGGTATAGAGGAAACTACTGTGTATAAGATGTACTCTTGGATAAGTAGCATCTCCATAATTGGCTAATTGGAATAAAGTCCGAATAGCTAGGTAAGACGTCACTTTAAAAATATCGTAATTATGGATAATTACGTTTGGACAAGTTTGAAATAAGGATGAAGGGATCTTATTATGCGTCGGATCCACAAGGATTTTTAGATAAGTTTTTAGGACAATCGCATACTTGCAAAATGTTGACTTTAGGATAAAAGTTTTCAAGGTATTTTGTAAAATCTGGATAGTATTAATATTATACAAATAATGAATTGGACTATAGCATTTTAGTTTTAGGATACCACTGAGTAGCGAATAGAAATTATTAGCTTTCAAAAAGTACGGAGGAGAAATTTTTAATAAAAATTTACAATTTAAGTATTTCTCAAATAAAAGTTTATAAACGGATTTAAATTTTAATAAAATGGAAAAACAAGTTGGGGAAAAACTTTATAAGACATTTCGTTTTGAATTCAGTTTCTCTGAAATCACATTCATCCTGGAAAGAGAAGCTCTATGTTGGATATTTAAGTTACTTTGAGTCGTCAGATATTGATTGTCACTTGATATTTTAGGTGTTATTACTAGATTTTCATTTTGAAAATTCGCCAATTCCTTGTTATTAGAAGTCTCTTGGGAGAAAGAGACCCGAAAAAAGTTTGAAATTATAAAACAAGGAGCAATGTTGAAATTGGATACGGGTCCGGTTAGGATCCAACCAAAGATAGTCTGTTGGGCCATTAATGAATCACAAACATTTTGTATAACTCCCGGTAGCATAACGGATGGGAAGAAATCTGCACCAATTAAAATATCTATCTCTGAACTTTTATAGAATTGTGGATCTGCCAACTGGATAGAAGGAAATTTGGAAAATAGCGAATGGTCTAGGGTTTCGGATGGAAGGTTTCCCGACAATTGTGGAACAACTAGTGCCGTAATCGACTACTGTGTACTAGGATTAGAAACAGAACTTAGGACAAATGAGCACTGACTATGAGCACTTGCTGTTACAGTTTGATTCAGGCCTGAAATTTGAGCATTAGTAATCGTAGAAGGAAGTCTCAGAAGGTCAAAAAGCTTTTCAGAAATAAATGACCCTTCTGACCCTGAATCAATTAATGCTCTGGCTTGGACTTTCGTGTCTAAGTGACGGATTTCTACCATTGCTGTCCCCAGTAGAACCTCTTTGGAATTTGAGGAAAAGCAGGATTGAACCATGTCAGCTCCGGAACTAGTAGACTGTATTGTAATGGAATGAGTGACATATGGTTCGACATTTGGATCTAAATTGGAACTTGTACCAGGAGCAGATAGGTCTGTGAAAGTTTCGGAATATCTATGGAGTAAAGTGTTGTGCCTTTTGTTGCATCGGAAACAATTAGTAGGATTACTACAATTCCGTGCTGAATGTGTCTTAGAGAAACAATTAATGCACAAACTTAACTTCTTGATCTCATCAATGCGCTGGGAGTAATGCATTTGCAAAAATGTAGGACATTTGCGTATCGGATGAAATTCATTGGGACACAACTGACATTTCGGGCCTGAAGTACGGTAAGAACTGTTGGAAACGTTGGATGAAATATTTAACGCTTTGGATTTGGATGCTGAAGGCATGGAAAGAGTGGAACGGATTTCGGAAACTGATTCCAAAGTACGGTAACGATTTGTTAGAAACTCATCGAAATCCGACCACTTCGGAATGGAAGACTTATCTTTTAAACCTTGCTCCCATAGAGTTAATGTCGAATCAGGCAGTTTGTTGGAACAAAGGAACACAAAAATTGGATCCCAACTGTCAGTGTCTATATTATGGATTTTTAGAATGGATATACATGCATTAATGTCCCGTTGCAAATTTTGTATGGATTGTGCGGATTCAAGGGATATACTAGGCATGTTAAATAGGATTTTAAGCTGACCATTGACTTGGACTCTTCGATTTTCAAACCGACTGGTAAGATTAGACCAAGCCAAATCAAAGCCTTGGTTCGTCAAAGGACTTTTCTGGACGATCTGTCTAGCTTCTCCATAAGTCTTTTGGATTAAATGGAAAAGTTTCTCTACCGGACTAAATATGGAATTTTTAATGTACATGGGCGTAAAGAGATCTCGGAATGTCGGCCATGACTCATAGTCACCATGGAATACATCTATTTCACATGGAGGTAGATTGAAACGATGAAATTGATTGGAATCGGAAGCCTGACTTATAACAGCCGGTGGAAAATTTGGAGAAATGGTATTGTTTTTGGGTTGAGACGGAACACGAAGCGTATCGGACAATTCGGATAACTTAGTAAGGATATTACAATAAGCTATGTAAGTATTTTTATACTTGTCCTTAAACGCTTCTAAATTTTCGGATTCGTCATTGTCGGACTCTTCTTCATTTTCCTTATCGAACAAAAACTTATCATATGCTGACTTGATTCGATTCCAAGTGGACTTCAATTCATCTTTGTGGATCGCAAGTGCATGAATTGAATTTATGGGATATCGATTTTCATTATAGTCAGCCTCGAATTCAATAATACTGTCGGCAAGACGGATAAAATGGTCTAGAGACATATTGACGGTTATTATTGGAAAAAATGGAAATTTGGAACTTAAAGAATCGTTTCTCTTACAAACGTTGGACAAATCTCAGAAAAATATAGAATTTTGGATGACAAACAATCGCGTTATATAACTAAATAGGAAAAACAACCACTTAGGAAAAATTAATTTTTTGAACAATTAGTAGTTTTACAGCTCTGGATTTTTATGTATGGAACAACAATAATGTAACTGAGATTTGTTTACAATTGAATTCAATTAACCCTTTGGAGACCAGGAAAAAGTGTATGAAATAATAACAGAAATGTATTTGGTAGAAAAACTGTATAATTTCACTGGACAATAATAAGTAAATTCTAAATTTACAGAATTATTTATATGCAAAATGGCACTAAAAATTTTAATAATTATGTATACATAAAGTGATCGAAAAAAAAGTTTTTCTTGAATAAGAAAATATGATATAAATAGATTAAATATTAAATTAATTTAATAATATATCAAATCTAATCAATACAACAAGATTCTAAGATAATATATTGATTATTTAACAATATATCTTATAAGACATTAATGACCTTAACGATCACTCAAGGGTTAATGACGATCAGTTGCGTATTGAAAAAGAAAGAAGAAAAGGAAAAAGAAAATAAATATATTGCATGTATATACACACGCACTAACGAGTGTAATGCAGAGATACAAGCCGATGGGAAATGAACGGCGGCGGCGGCGCAACCATTTTGGGTCGGCGGCGGCGGCTTATTACAGAAAATATCGGCGGCGGCTAAATTGTCGGCTCAATTTAACTTTTTCTTTAGAAATTAAGGTTTATTATATTGGAAAATCTTTGTATAATAGTCTGTTACATAGAAACCTGTCTCTATATAAGTTTTTTTCTGCAGAAAATGGACATTTATAGTAGTTTTCACTATTTTAATATTAGCACAATATTGTGTGGCAACTCTTTTCAATTTGCCATACGAATTTAAAATAGTGGCAACTCCGTTCAATTTGGTGAAATTATGTTCTG